AGAAGCGTAAACTTAACTTTAATTGGAGAATTAGAAAAGCAAATGAGTCAAGGGAGAGAAGGAAGAAGTAAGAACCAAATAGAAAAGATATTAATAGTGGGAAAGTAAGAATAATGAAAGACTATAGATCTCATATCATAAAGAACAGGAAAGAGAAAGAAAAGAAGATAAAAAGACATAGTAAGAAGTAAGTAATCAATCGTTTAAGCATAAGTATCAAGGATTCTAGTGAGTTAATAAGTGTAAGTCAAGCAACGGAAGTCCATAGAGTAGAAGTGATGTGGGCCTAAGAAGTTTCTCGTATGAAACAACAGCTCTCTTTGTTGGTAGTAAGTTCAACGTAAGTGTCGTAGTTCTTTAATGCATTCTCAAGCGAGTCAATCAGATAGTTAAGACACTACCTTGACTATCGAAGTGAAAAAACATAAGACATTAAGTAGTGTGGCAAGTAAATAAGTAAAAAATAAGAGATAAAGTTAACATATTAGTGGACTAAAAGTCTTTCTCTTTTCCCGAGGGGTAGCCTCCTAGAGCAAGCCATAGCTAATGGAGATGAAGATTCAAGGATAAGTAATGCTAAGCTTACATTATCAAGTTCTAATTATGAGCCTTAAGTATGTTAAGTCATAAGTTACATTAGACTATAAAGAGGGTTTTTCAGAAGAAAGCAGCACTGGACCAACAACCAACACCAAAGAACCGAAGCCTTAAAAAGCAGAAAGAAGACCGACAGAAAAGCCAAGCACACAAAAAGCCCCTAGAACCGAAAAAAGAAAGAAAGAAGCGAAGACAAAGCAAAGAAGAAGAAGCATTCAGTTCATATCTGTGAAGTCTGGGTCTCCAACCAAATTAGAACCTTCTTCTCTTAGACCAACAAGAAAAGAGTAATTGGTCACAGCGACAACTTATATGATAGTAAGATAGCGAGGTAAGATCCTTACCTATAGATAACTCTAAAGATCAGATATGTCTACGACAGAAAAGAAAGAAGACCAGAAGCGCTGAGGAAGAAGACATGCAAGGTAATGAAGTAAGTCATCTTCATGCTGAGATGGCTAGTTGAAAAAGAAGTACTTAAGGGCTAAGACTTCACAAGAACAGTTACTTCATCTGTACTTCTCAAGCAATGTGTTGTTTAAAAAGCAGCGAATTTTTAGAGGAAGCTATTATAGAAGAAGAAAAAAGAAAGAGCGACAGTAATAAAGAGTTTCTTCATTCTAATGGCTTAAGCTTCCTTTCTCCTTCTTCTTCTTATAAGCTTAAGAGGGAAGATCATTCCAAGCAAGCTTCGTTCTTCATGTGGACTTACTGCCAATGTTCTTGCTTCTTTTCTTCAAGTGGTACTAGATCTCAGCATTCTTCTTCTTCCTTCTGTTCTTCTGTCTCCTCTCTCTTCTTCGCCTTCTTTAGCTTTCTTTCATTCGATGCGCTACCCGGCGTGCTGCAGAGTTGCAAGGACGAAGAAGAGGAGGAAGGAGAACGAAGAAGAAAAGAAGAGAAGAGAGGGAGAAGAGAAGAAGGAGGAGAAGAAGAAGAAGAAAGGAGGAGAAGAAGAAGGAAGAAAGAAGAAGCAAGGAGAAGAAGAAGAAAGAAGAGAAGGAAGAAGAAAGAAGGAGAAAGAAGAAGAAAAGAAGAAGAAGAAGAAAAGGAGAAAAAGAAGAAGAAGAAGAAGAAAAGGAAGAAGAGAAAGAAGAAGAAGAAGGAGAGAAGAAGGAGAAATACATCTGAGACATTAGGTTCCTTCGTTTCCTATATGAAAAGACATACCTTTGCTGAACTTAAAAATTGAGATGAAATGAATATGTTGCATTAAGTCTAAGATATTTAATTATTCAGTTGATATGATTTAGATCTAGTTCTATATTAGTTAACAGCAAGATTCAAATATATTTGTATTAACCCTTTAAAATCTAAAACTTATTGCGGGCATGAAATCCTTTAGAGCGAATGAATACTCCTTACAATTGTTCTCGCTGGGAATGTGGGTTGAACATCGATGCTATAAACACTTTGAATAACTTTGTATAGTGTGAGGTTAATAAGTATATTAAAAATACAATTGATGTTACCTATACAACAATGGTATTTCATAAATCTTGTATTCCAGGGGGAGAAAAGTTACTTCTACGCAAAATAGAGCAGTGTGAGTGCACCAATAAAAATAATGAACACAAAATAAAGAACATGAAATAAAACTCAAATTAACATAGTGGAATCACATTTATTAGGCATCTTCATCCGACTTCTATATATGTATATATAAAATTACACAGTATCTCTCTCATTTACAAACCTTTCAAATTTTTTGATTCAGTATCTTGTAAACACCTCGAAATATAACAAAGCCACAATGTCAATGTGCTTAAGATAAAGACGTTCTGAAGAAATTACTTGCCTGTGAAGGCTTAATTTTGTGCCAGGGAGTTACAGATTATTTCTATGAAAATTGTCCGATCACCAAAACAAATATATTCCAAACAGAAGCATTATACACTGCAGTGCAGGTTTCCAGCGTCAATATCAAAAGTTTTCTTACAACCTTTGTTAATAGATAATTATATTTAAGAACTGGGATGAAACTGCGTCTTACTGACGCTTTAACGCTTTAAATACACAATGTTTTCCAAAATGAAAACTAATTCGTAGGTTAAATGACTGCCAATATTTTGATAAGTAGCTGTCAGAAAAGATAATTATTCTTTCATATACTTTGTAAATGAATTCATTGTTTACAATTTTTGTCAAACATTTTCTACACAATGAAATTTACTTATACGTTGTGAAGAAACTAACGGTATAGAAATCGTTAGTTTTTCAGTTCGATAGGAAAACTAACATCATTCAGTGTTCCAGATAAAATTACAAGCACAGGAAGGGGTCATCAGAAACTTTTATTCGATGGAACCCCAGCCTCGGCGCTGCACAGTATCAAACACAGCTCCGTTTCCCCTGCGAGGGCAGCACATCAACGCGCACTCAAGTCATGCGGGTAGTCTCTCTTTCAGGGTGAGAGGAGCAATGCAGCACTTACGATTAAAAGCATTGCGGAAGAAGTCGCCAAATATCATATTGTAGGGAAAGACGACCTCCGAGGTGTTGGGAATGAACCATGATTTCATCCTTACACTAATAACAGAATAACTGAGAGTGAAATTGTGTAATTGAGTGTAACGCTGAAATCATTATTCATTTTCCAGTACCTCAGGGCTCTTCTCTCCCAAAATATGATCTCGTTGGTTATTTCAACTGTAATGTTTATGACCGTAAGTGCTGCTTTACCCCTCTCACCCTGACAAAGAGGACATCCATTGGAATCGAGGGCACGTTGATATGCCGACCTCGCAGGAAAACAGACACGTATTTTGACCCAGCGCAAATCTCCGACTGGGGGTTCATCGACAAAAATGGCTTTCCTCTACATGTCACTTGCACTTGTGCACGTTTTTTCTGAAACACCTGCAAATAGTTTTCGGCAACTTCATAGAATCATTCTGTACCAGCGCTTCTTAAGCTTGATCGCGACCCCTCCCACAAACAACCCCGTTGACCCCAGGCGCATCAATGAGACGCGCCAATCACAAACCGAGTTCTAGGAACTGTCGCACCCTTGGCGCAGACTGGCCATTTAAAGGTGCATCCAATGAATAGAAGAATTCTAGAGTTGTAAACGGTGTAGTATGCAACAACGTTTCTTGGCCCGTCAACACAGCCACGTCATCATCATCCACTCTTTAGTATAATATGTAAAACAGATACTAAATACAAGCTCACTTACATCTGAGACGCTCATCATTTGTGACTTCTAATTTCACAGAACACTTTTAGTTCAATATAGAATAAATACGTATTTAATAGAAGAAGTATTAAGCAGTTATCTCAAAATATTCACTGCCCAAAGGTCGAAATATTGATCATGTAAAAATAAGCGAAGAGCGGATGGCTGTTTTACCAAATATTTCAGACGTTACTTGCAAATGTGAAAATTACAATATTAAACATGAAGATTGTGTAAATTGTCAAACGTTTGTTTATACAATTAAAACATTAAAACCAGTTAAAAATGAGCCCTTCAATTCCTATGGCAAGTGATTATTTTCAGTAATGGAATGCGCAGTAAAGAAAACAAATCAACGTTCATTCTTCTTCTGCAAACACGAGCTATTAAAAATCCGCAGGAGACGCAAAAAAAATCATTTAAAATGCACAACACGAAACGAATATAATCAGTTTTTGTTTAAATTACTTTAAAATAGTCGAATGAGAAGGCGACGCTCAGGTCATTCCAGAGAGTCGCCGCTCCGCCGGACGAAGCGGCCGGGGCGCGGCGCGGCGCGGCGCGGCGCGGCGAAGGTCTCATTACCCGTACGTGGCCAGACTAGGGCAACCATTTGGTCCACACGAACACGCGACATCGTCACTGCGTTCGACACACGTGTACAACACACACTTTTCTTGATCACGCAAAGAGGAATCCGCACAGCAAACTAGTGACGATTACGCAAAGAGGAATCTGTACCGTAAAGTAGTGATTACTCAAAGAGGAATCTGCACAGTAAATTAGTGATACGGCTGCGCTCAACATGGTCGCTCTTGAGACCACGTGACATCCCGTCGTGCGCGGCGAACCACGCGTGATTCGACCTACCCCTCGAAATAGGAAACTGTGTGACTCGACAGTCACGCGTGATCCTCTCGGAAGCGTCGACGCGGAGCCGCGTCACGCGGACACGCGCAGCGGCGTTGAGTTGCCGACGCTGCCGTAGACGCCGTTGAGGGCGAGCGCGCCGTTGGGCGAGCCCTTGCGCGCCGTGAGGACGAGGACGGGCGAGCCGCTGCGCTGCGGCGGCGAGGGCGAGCGGCGCGCCGGCAGGCACGCGTCCTCGGGCCGCGCGTCGCCGTTGGCGGCCGCGCCCGCCGCCAGCGCCACCGTCGCTGTCGTCGGCGCCAGCGGCACGTGGCTCTCGGCGTAGTCGGGCGGCAGCGGCACGGGGCCCGTGTCGCAGCACAGGAACGAGGAGACGGCTGCCAGCTGCGGCACACACAACACACCATTGCCACAAGCGAACAAGTGGCCAGGCCTCACACGAAGCCAACAAGTTCGTTTAATTGTACTCGGTTTATTCAAAATAATCACCATGCACAATTTCCCTTTAAGAAAATACTTTTAGGTAATTTTTTCAAACTCACAATTAAAAACAAAATAAACAAGGTGGATTCCGGAGAAATCTTGTGGAAATCTATATAGATGGGTAAATAAAAACAATCTTCCACAATAAAAAGCATGGAAAACTAAATTCAGATTTTTTATTCCTCTTTCCTCGCCATAGAGGTTTCTTTTATGCTGGAATGTAACACTTTAATTTAGGATTTTTTTACTGTGGAAGATTATTTCTATTTACCCTTCCAAACTGAAAAAAAATATTAACGGGGGTCTGAAGTGAAATTGCACCCCCGCTTCCGAAATATTTTTCTGCCCATGGCAGGAGGTTTCAGACATGATGGTTAATTCAATGATGGTGAGAGCACACAGGGTTTTGGCATTCCAGGTTTTGGCATTCCGATCACCATCTCACACACACACACAGTCGAAAATATTAGCATTGCACATTGGGCACAAAATACTTCATGGGCAGGTTTCAATTAAGGTCATAGCTATAACTACTCGTTAACACATGAGAAAAAGAGTTTTTTGATATCCCCTCACCCTATGTAACACGTGCATACCATAACACACACACACGTGCGCGCGTGTTACGATTTTTAGGACTTCTTCCGAAAACTTCTCATTAAGTCGTCATAATATTATATTTTAAATCTTTCTTTCAAAAAAGATATTCAAACTTTACGCTAAAATATATACAAATTAAATTAACACTACACCAAAAATTTATATTTCTGACATTTAAAGTCTTTTACCAGTTAATTACATTCCCATTCAGATATTTTTTTAACAGACGCGGTAAGACTTTGTATTGAAAAATGCATTGACAAGATGACGGTTGATGTCAGAGCTTCCTCAACTTAAGAGAAATCACCAGCGTAGAAACCAGATGCGAATTTCATTTTCCCTTGTACACGATTAAATATAGACGGTGAAAGAGAGATAGCATTACCAAGTATCTCCCTCAGTACACAGTTCGTCCTTCTCTGTAACTTAGATCTGTAACTTAACCACCTCTAACACACATGGCGTGATCCAACGGCACTTCATTAAATGCAGGAAATTATTTGAAAGTAGTCTTTTACGGATTTGCTTTTATAGAAATAATTTTCATTGCTGTGTTTTTGCTCTTTAATTTACTCTGTAGGAAGTCCCTTGCATTGGGAGGTAATGTTAGAAAATTGAAAATAGTGCCAGTCAAATGTCTGAAATATATAGAATTTCTTTTTTACCGGGAAATTACAAAATAACACACTTTGATTTTGAGTTTAGAAAATTCGGAGATTCTAAATTATTGAAATGAGCGTAAGCTAATGTTATTTGAGAGAAATTATGAATAATATTAATTACAGAGATTGTTTCCGAGCACATCAACTGCTATGGTCATTAGTCCCGTTACTGTAATGAATGTTGACATCTTGGGAGGCGGCGTTGGAAGGCCTGATCCTAAGCAGACCTATTCTCGCCTCGGCACAACCTCAGCCGGGTCCATCTTGAAGCACCCGATAGCTTTCTCGGCAAGAAGTATGGTCGTGTACTGCATGTAGGTGTACGAATATGCAAGGGAAGGGGGTAGGATAAGGAAGAGGAAAAGGAAGAGAAAGGAACAATCGCGCGCGCGGTCCCTGGCCCGTTGGTTAGGGTACTGCTCCGGCATTTGACCTGTGTTGAGCAGAGAAACCAGGGAAAACTACCGATAAGAGCAGCCGGCCACTAGAATTCTCGTCCAGAAAGCAACTGAATTCCATCTAGCTGACAAACTACTGTCGAAAATCTGCTTCCAGCCTCCTCTGCCACCAACAGTTCTGAGCTAAAGTCTCACGATAATATTTCAATTCATTCCATACTTTGGAATGAATGCATGTTTATTGAACGCACTCTCTCCGAAGGCCCACACTTCAGACACAAAACTATTTAACTTGTTTTTTACTATCAGAAATTAATAAAAATTTGGTATTCGTTAAGAACTGTGTGACCGCAAGCCTTGCGAGTAGAAGTGAAGAATACTTTGATTACCATGAGAACCATAACTGTTTTAGGCATTAATATTTCAATATATAAGTTACGTCAATTTGAATTTTTATTTAAATGCTCAAAAATCGATCGATTCCCATTCAAATATAGTGGGAATGACATGAAGCAACTCGTGTATAGTCAACAAAGAATTTAATAACTCTTGCAAGAAATGATTCAAAACAGCCGTTTAAGAGAAGTATATATAACTACTACGCACTACACGTTTTTTAAACATTGGATTGTTAAGAAAACTAGAAAAGAACATTGTATATAGAAGGCAATCGTTTCCAGGCAACGAGTTAGATAATAAGACATCTTACAGTATGCGAGGAGTCGTCGTGTACACAAAGTTCATGGAATGTGCGCTAGATGGCAGCATCTCACTCTTCCGCCTACAGATTTCTGTCTGAGTGCTGCAGTAGTACTATATGAGCATATTCATCATTATGAGAATTGTCAGTTTATGCCAAACTCTAGTTTTGATTAGATTATACGCAGTACATTATTTTATTTATTCTGCTCATGAAATTAACAGTACCATAATTATCTTAATGAATCTTGTGATAATAAAGAAACCTTTCTTTTTGTCTTATAATTTTCTTTTATAAAATGTCTTGACATATCTAAACTGCAACTAAAAGTATAGAGATTGCATAAATCAATACATTGATAAATCAAAAACATTTGACCCTTTAACAAGGATGAGTTTTTAACCATCTATTTAACTTAATACATTTCTACGACCTACTTTGATCACAAAAATATATCATACACTGTACATTCATCTTACATTTAGTTTACTTTTTTCAAGATTGCATAACGATTTAACGTAACATGTCATACTATTTCTGTTTTGCCATAACCTGCTACGTGCGTACTAACATAACTTAACCTATCAACGTGGTACTGAACCTACAATCAATATTTCTGAGACACGGAAACTAATAGAGATGCCAAAATTTTCAATTTCAACATGTTAAAGCACTGTGCATGCGAGTTACACAAGTCAACAAATTTGTGAGAATCCAATCCATAAAGTAACTCATATCGTTTGCTTTTATTGAAAATACAAGTACTAAGAAAATACACCAGGGGCAGATCCAGAAAAGGCATTTCAGGAAGGGCACTTATAAATATTTGGAGTGTTTTAAATTATTAATTTAAAAAAATTTAAGGGGAAAATTATAGGATGCAATCAAAATGACGTAATTGTTTTTAAACTAAGTAAAATTACAAAATATGTTGGATTAACGGAAGTTATCCAACGGGGCTTATTGTGTTTATTATAACACATTAACTTAATGTGTTGTATTATAAGAGTTAATGTATCGAATGTTTTGATGTACATTTGTCTTAAAATATTATATTATTAAATGGAAATATAATGCAGGAGACAAGTGATAAAATAGTAAACTAAATAAACGAACTTGTGCTATTTCAACACCGTATTTTGTAGTTTTAGACCTTTTCGAGATTTGGAAGCTGACTTTTATTCGAAGATTTAACTTTATTATCCTTTATTTAATGCTTTTCTAACCTGACCCAGTTTTAAATTAGGTCAGTCTCGGTGAGGTCAGTTTTTATTTAGCAACTACAAGATTAATTTGACTTGAAATGAATTAATCGAATTTGGACGTTCGCCATGGGAATATTTCGTAAGGAGAAGGCCTCATGGCTCAAGGAATATTGATGATACTTAGGCCCCTGAACCTCAACTGCAACACTTTCGTCACCTCTACGTCACGAACACGTCGTGCTATGTGTGATATCACGTTTTCCATTATTGATGAAAACTTGTAACAAAAACTGTTCCATCAAAGTAGATTTTACAATCCTTATGCAGACATTCACAGTTACTATTACCCTTCAAAACTTCTATAAGTTTCTAGGAAGCTCAGTATCTTACAAGTTCTTTGTACGTTGATATAATACCGCTCCGAATTTATCATAGTTAATGAAAATTAAAAGCTGTGAGAACATATCTGTCAGATGTACCTTATGTGATTATCCCATTGGATAATTTAAAATTAAGACAACTGATAATTTTATTGTAATTAGATAAGACAATGCAATAAAAATATATAATTTTGTTGCTGTTTTTATTGTTATAATAGTATTAAGTTTATCGTAAATGCTATCACGTTTCTATAACGATTGTCTAAGGAAGATTTGAAACGTTTTTTAAAACTCTCGCAAAACCTTTGACCGCCCTGGTCTCCTAAGGCAAATTGCTTCTCTACTTTGTAAAACGGATACGAAAATTCCTTTAACTCCAAGAGGTTCTTTATTTTTACAATGATTCAATTTATTTATTATTAATTTATTTATATTAACGAGAACCTTAAACTCTGGATTTTTCTATAAAATATTAGAGAACCAATATTTCACAGCATTGGCTTTTACAGAACAGGGAGCATCTGTTATAGTTCCTTTCCAAATAACTTGCGTTAGAATAGATTGGAAACAGTTATCACTGATATAACGACAACAAACCGTAACATAACAGTGTAAATTTCCTTGAATTAAGTGAATTTATATTTTAAGTATTCTTTCTTACTTCTTATTGCCATCGATACGGACCTTGAAGTACATTGCATAACTTTTCTGGATCGAGAGTATCGTGATGAGGAGGGAAATATGAAAACAGTTGAATGATGGCACATGTTCTCTTATGGAGAGAATTAGGAAAGTAAGTTACGAAAGGAAAATTAGCCTAAAGGCTAGGGTTGTTTGTAGCCGCAAGATCAACAGAACCCATGTAACTTCCTTGAGGCACAATACCCACGTTTTCACTCAAAACATTTTTGGATATACAATTATATTTTATAGAATTAACCAATTTTAATTTACTC